TAAAGGTAATTTTAATATATTTGATTTAAAAATTCGCTATATCAAGGGTTCGCTATATCAAGGTTTGACTGTACTGATTAAACATAAATTCTGTATTTTTTTTGTATACGGAAAAGGTCAATTTTCAGTATTTAATATACGGAAATACTAATTAAAAATAACATATATAATATACTGATTTGACGTATAAATTCAGTATTTTTTGCATACGGAAAAAGACGATTTTCAGTATCTAATATACAGAAATATTTACAATATACTATAAAATCTTACCAAAAATAACGTATACAATATACTGATTTGACATATAAAATTTAACAAAAAATTACATATACATTATATTGATTAGACGTATAAATTCGGTATTTTTTTGCATATGAAAAAAGATGATTTTCAGTATCTAGTATATAGAAATATTTACAAATTTATTATACTGTTTTTCTACATTTATTATACATTTTTTAAATATATTATTTTTGTATACTTTCCTTATACATATTATTTATAAGGCTTTATATTAATCACACTAAATAAAATAAATTAGATAAAATGATTATTACTATAAATATTTAAGCTACACAAGTAATACTTATGCAAATGTATTATTTTCTACATTATAAGTTGATAGATCTTTATTTATTTTTAGACGTAAATCAGAATCTGAATCTATTGATACATGATTCATTTCTTGAAATTCTGAACTTGCAAATTCACATATTTTTAGCCCTTAACAAGTTCTATCTTTTTTATATATAGCAACATTACTAAGATAAGAATAAGTTGCATTATTCTGATCACCAGGTTTATCTATAGAATATTGAATCTTTAAAAAATTAAGTTAATCCACATTATAAAAAAAAATAAGTAAATTATTATTATTAATAAAATATATATATTTACATTATTAAATGCTGCTTCTTTATTTTCCCATCCTTCAACATAATAAATTATTGTAACACTTTCTCACTTATTGGTAGATATTCCATTAGAATTAATAAGTGAATAATTGTTTTAACAGTCATATGCTTTGTAAGATATATTTCTATATCTTCTTCCAGTTTAATATAACGCGTCTATAATATATTAAGTATTTAATATTTATTAATAGTTTACTTTATTAATCATTACATACCTCTTTATTAAAATCCTCTTCATAAATGATATTTTTCTCATTAACAAAATTGTTCATAATGACTGATAAGTTTCGATAAATAGTATTTTAATGTAAGATTTTTTTCTGCAGATTTTCATTTTGGTAAATATGATTTTCTTTGTATTTTCACAAATCAGTTTTCAAATTATCGTAAGTAGATAAGAAATAAGGTTTGATGTAAACACGTGAAAGAATAATAGATAAAAAATGGAATAATTTGATTATCAGACTAATCAATTTTGATTTAATTGTTATATTTGTTATATTACACATGATATACATGTTAAATATATACAGTAGTTAAATTTATAGGTTACACACTTAAGTATATTATTTTACGTAACATACTATACTCATTACCTCCACCTGACTCTACTCCTTTCTGTATCACTTAATCTTAACCTAATATAAGGCAAAAAAGGGTTTTGGAACAAATCTTCAAATCGCTTCTGAATCAATTCTAGCTATATGAATCAATTATCGAATTTAAACCTCTAGCGTGATTTGACTCAATTCTAGATGATGATATCAAACTTGGCTTGGAATTAACCTTCAGATATCAAGAATTATACTGTTTGATATAGTTATTCTAGCCTGATTTTAATCCCAAATAATATATCAAAAAATTTTTACTATTCTGTTTGCCTCAGAATAGACTATCAAAAATTAAGGAACAAAGTGATGCGATTTGAGCTGAACCTGACATTACAAACTCAATATGAATAATAACTTTTATGCTATTCTGCTTGCCTCTAGATGGACCATTGAAAATCAAGGAACAAAGTGACGCGATTGAGCTAAGCCTGATCATGCAAGCCTAAAATGCATATTTTATTCTAAGTCTCACTTCTAATTCACACCTCTAAGTCGCACTTTTTATCAAGTCTCACCTTTAAATGTGGAAAAAATCAGAATGAAAAGCTGAAAGAAGCCTAAAAATCATACCTCTAAGTCACACCTTTTATCAAGACTCATCTCTAAGTGCGGAAAAAATCAGAATGAAAAGTTAAAAGAAGCCTAAAATGCATACCATATTCTAAGTCGCACCTTTTATCAAATCTAATCTCTGAACATTATCTTGCAATTTATTATAATATTGCATCATATAATATCCTCTAATATGTTTAATATACCATCCACAAGCTGTAGCCGTAGGTTTGCCACAATCAGTACAAGGATAGCACTTCTAGTCTTCCAAGATTGCCGACATTCTTCAAATCGAATGCAGGCTTTACTACAAATCTTGCCAGAGTTATGAAGATAGTCGCAAGTATAAGATGCCATCATTTACAATAGGGATAAAAAAATTTAATTAAACAAAATTATCTG